GGTTAGGGCAGACAGCCAGTTACTAAGGGGAGGACGAGGATGTCCTGCTTGTTGAGAAACTGCAAGGAAAAGAAAACAAGAACGGTTGATTATTTATCTACTTTGAAAACTAAAAAAGAATCTGGATTACATGATCAGGATTCCAATGAGCCCTCGAAGGGGTTATGGGTGGGAAACAGATGGATGCAAAATATATATACCAAGAAACATTTGCAAAAAACTCTTAAATTCCACCCAAAAACATTTGCACTTTCCAAAGAAACTCTTCGTCCTCCCATGACAGCTCTAAAGAGCGACCTTCAGTAAGCGGCTCGAGCAAATCAAATTCAGCCAACGCACCACCAACATCAGGATTAGGCAGTAAGAACATATTCCCTTAGGGGCTCTGTAGGATTCTGCTTTCTGCAAAACAGGGAGCTGAATATTACCTCTGGAGCCTGTGGACCATGTGATCCACCAGAGAATCAGCGATGCCGGGGAAGGACTCCTCCGCCTGCATGATGGCCTCCCTCAGCTCGTCCAGCACCATGGGGTTCCCGTTCACCTGCTCCTGCCTCGCCTTCAGCTGGGGGAGGAGAGGTGAGGAGGCAGAGGTGGGGTTAGGTTGATAAGAGCAGGGAGCAATCTGTATAATTCTGATCGGAGCCACTTTCACGCGCAAGAAGTGATGGCACACAATTGTTTAACATTTAGTCAGGAGTGTGACGAAGGCTAATTTGACAGTCTATTGGTTACCCTCCTTACCTCGGCTAATGCAGGAGAGATGACTGTGGCCAGGCTCTGTGAATAAGGCCTCTTTGGAATGTCGTTTGACTGTGAGAGAGAGAAGCGAGAACGTGGGGGGAGGAAATTAAAGTAGTGCAACTTCACCTTAGGGGCTTTTAATCAGCTAAATAACATCACACCATGCTATCATTGGTTCTTGTGAAAGTGTTGCTGTGGTGTTAAGATAATCTGATTGGTTAAGGTGCTATTTTTAGAGGCGTCTCACCTGCTCTGTCGCCCCCGACTGCCCCTCCCCATTCTGCAGCTTCTTGGGGTCCTTCTCTCGGATGGTGAAGATCCAGTCGTCGCTGCCGAAGTCGTTCCCGCCCGACGCCTGGCCATCCTGCTCCCTGATTGGACAGGTATTAAAAAGAGGATTTAAAAAGAGATGAGGGATGAAGTCATGCATGTAAAGTGCTTACAGCCCATTATGACAAACGTGGGAGGAGAGCAGCAGGGAGGATGGTTCACTTTTTAGATTTGGTGTCAGACTTACGAGTCAGAATCAGAACTGGACTCTGTGGTTCTTAACTGCTCTGCCTTCCACCTCTTGTACTTGTCCACCAGCTCCGTCAGGTAGGACGTCTTCTTGGCGTGGCGGACGATCAGCTTATGCTTCAGCAGCTCTTTGGCAGTCGGCCTCTGAGGAAAAAGAGAGAAGCGGGTGAGATGGTGCAACTTCTACGAAGACAAAAAACAGAAAGAACAGAACTCACAAAACTGGGCTCTTTGTTCAGACAGGCCTCCACAAACTCCTTGAGCGGTTTGCTGTAGTTGCCCTCCAGCGTGGGGGGGTTGTTCTTTGGGATGAGGAATAGAACCTTCATGGGGTGCAGCTCTGAGTGGGGGGGCTCGCCTTTGGCTAGCTCGATGGCTGTGATGCCCAGAGACCAGATGTCAGCCTGCAATGCATGGAGAGACACGTTTAAAAACGTATATAAAATACATTATTATATGGTCTATATTGCTTTTGAATTATTTTGACGACAGAAACAAGAAGCTTGAATTAAAAACATTTGGTACAGCCCATCGTCAGAAGGGACCGTTTGTGGACGGGGTGTCAACATGACTCATCGCTTTTGACCTTACCTTGGAGTCGTAGGCCGACTGTTTGATGACCTCGGGGGCCATCCAGAAGGGCGTGCCCACGAAGGTGTTGCGCTTGATCTGCGTGTCGGTGAGCTGCCCCGCCACTCCGAAATCCGCCAGCTTCACCTCCCCCTGCTCGGACAGCAGCACGTTCGCGGCTGTTTGTGTGGGGGGGGGGAAGAGGGAAGATTGGTGATGCAATTCAGAGGAAACACATCTCCTGTCAACACCATTTATTTACTGAAGAGGGAACTAATGTCAAAAGCCTTTTAGCCCGCCGCTGCAGAGTTTATCTCAACTCCCCGGGGGAAAACAAACTGTATAATGAAAGGGACGTCAATACCATTAACGTGCTACGTGATATCGGTGTGTGCTCGTTTAGTGGGCTGAAATAGCAGCACTTTACCTTTGATATCCCTGTGGATCTTCTTCTCAGAGTGAAGGTACTCCAAGCCCTTGAGGATCTCTCTGAGGATGGTGGCGATCTGCGTCTCGTCCAGAGCGCCGGGCTCCATCTTTAGAGGAGACACGCACAGACACCATTAGGTGAGCCTCAGAGTGTTAACCCTACATGCTGGCAGGTGCTGTCCTTTTTTAATTCACATTTGAAGAACTTTATATAGGTTTTCAGATGTCTGCAGTCATATTTTATGCCTAAACTTTCAGCGTCTGACATCCCCCCCCCAAAAAAAATAAAACAAATCACACAATAATTCAGGAAAGAGGAAAAGCATTTTTGCACAATGTTTTATAGTAAGGGGACCGCATTTTGTGCTCCTGCTAACGTCAGAGGAAATGATTACTTTTATCAATGTAATAGGCCTTTCAAGCTTCAGAGAAACCGAGCCGAAGTGCTACATCACATAGAAAAGTATTAATGAGTAAAGAGAATCATTAAATAATCAAGTTAGATGACTGGCTGATCAATCCCGTGGAAACAGGAAACACTTACCAAATCTAACGCCGAGCCTCCGCCTAAATACTCCATAATGATCCATAGCTTTGTGTCCTGGAGAGGAGACAGAGAAATAAAAAGAGTGAGCTTCCATTTGTGGAGACATAATCACAGCTTATGAAGGCGGTTACTTATTGTGAAGTGTTAAGAGCCAGGTGCATTTCTAAACAAGTCATTAAAACATTATAAGAGCGGGTGGGTGTTTGAAGTCGTACGAGGCTAATCCTTTTTTAATTTAGGATGACTCAGGGAAAAAGTGGGCGGAGGGAGAGAAATGTGTCTCATGGCATCTGCTCACTTGGAGGTTTGACTTGGAAGCAGATGCAGAAATCGTAACGCATACTGTAACAAGCATCACCTTCAGGTATGAGCCGTAGTACTTGGTGACGAAGGGGCTGTCGCACTGACTCAGCACCGTGATCTCCTGCTGGATGTCTTCGATCTCGTCCTCCGCCTCCTCCAGGTCAATGTTCTTGATGGCCACCACTTTCTGCGTGCGATTGTCGATGCCTTTGAACACCTCGCCAAAGGAACCCTTGCCAATGCGCTCCAGCTTCGTGAACAGCTCCTCCGGGTCAGCTTTGGAATTCTGGTTGAGGAAAGGAAAGAATCAGAATCAGAATCAGAATCCCTTTATCAGTCCCACAGAGGGGACATTTGCAGCGTTACAGCAGGAAAGAGCCACAGACAGCTTAGTGTTGCATATCTTACATGCCTTAAAAAAGTACTAAGTGATAATATAATAAACAATATGCTAAAAAAAAAGATAAAAACTAAAAAAGTTACATAATTTACAAAAATACAGATCAAAAACAAATCAAATCTACAAATCAAATCCTGTAGCAGCTCTTAGGATTTAGCAGCCCGGTATATATTACAGCTATTAAAGATGGCATATGTATATAAAGCACATATTGCACATAGTTTGACGGTATTTAACAGCAGCAAGTTACACAATCTACAAAATACAAGATACATACCTTGTAACAGTAACAAGGGTTTAGCAGCCAGGTATAAATTACACAGTTATTAAAGGCATATATATATTGCACATATAGCACATATTGCACATAGTTGGTTTGTATTTAGCAGCAAGGGGTGTTATAGTCTGTGTTGTGGTGTGTGTAGGAGGGTCTATTAGGGGCAGTGCTGGTTGTAAAGTCTGATCGCTGCAGGAAGGAAGGACCTGCGGTATCTCTCCGTGTGACAGGTGGGGTGCAGCAGCCTGTCACTGAAGGTGCTGCACAGGGAGGACAGGGTGTCCTGGAGGGGGTGGGACATATTGTCCAGCAGGGAGGACAGCTTGGCTGCCATTCTCCTGTCTCCCACCACCTCCACAGGGTCCAGAGGACTCCCCAGGACAGAACTGGCCTTCCTTACCAGTCTGTTCAGTCTCTTCCCGTCAGCAACCGAGATTCTGCTGCCCCAGCAGGCCACACCATAGAAAATGGCTGATGCCACAACGGAGTCAAAGGTCTGAA